TCAAGCAAGACACTCACACATTGATAAAACTCTCGATAACGCCCTCTTGTCATAACAGGCTGGTCCCTGCGATAAACTTTAGCGATATGGTATCTCTTTATATTTGAGATCTTATTCATAGCTAGATACCGGGCGAAAGGAACCTGAAATGCAAATATTACACACTTAACAATTTAGAGTACAAAAGATTTTGAAAATTCAAATTAGAAGACAAGAAAAAGAGCATTAAAAACCAAACTAACCGTGAGATCATACCGCAAAGACAATAGTTCGCCTCCCTGATCTTGCAGATCGTAAACGAGTTTACCACCTTCTTCACCGTATTTTCCCATAAGTACCTTGAAATGGCATAAATTAGTAATTATTCATTTTTGTTAATTCATAAAATAATTCTCTTCACAGCAGACTCACATCTCTAAGCTCAAAAACTGGAGTATCGATAGTTTCAGCTCCATGTCTTTTAAAAGCATCAACAACAATTTTTAGAACAGATTCTCGTACAGCCATCGATTTGGGCCCGTAGTCTCGTGTTCCTGGAATTTGCAGGCTATTTATTATAGATTACAAGATAACAGCAGTAAATGAAGTTTACCATAGAAATCTTACCTTTGGCAGTCTTAAGCACAAATTTCCCCTGGTCTGTCTGCCCATCTCCCAAAAGTTTCTTCTTCTCCAACATAGCAGCAATTTTTGCTTTGATCTAAAGCCATTTTATCAAGACAACAATTCTATAGTGATTATTGAATTATCTCTAGTCAGTCATCAAAGGGTTTATGGAAAAACCCGCGCACCCTTCTGCCACTGCGGTGTGTATAAATCACAGGCTTCTTCACTGTAGTAGAGTAACAGAGGCACTGTCGGAGAAAACGAGAAGAGATCATCTTTGAAAGTCAGCACCACTAGAAAATAAGCGTTCCGATGGTTTCAGAAATGATGTTTTTATACACATCTACGACTATGGCTACAATGTAGATCGCGCTGATATTCAAACCAAAAATTAACTCATAGAAGGCATGATGCAATAGGAATGTAGATTGACAAAATGGTCAAAAACCCTATATTATAAAACCCCGACGTAACAATTAATTCTAATTATGACACCGCATGACAGAAGGATGTTGAGCTTTCGTAAAAATTTATGATCAAACGAACCAAGGTCGGATCGGCCTTGTCTGTCTTCAACGACCTAATTTCGTCGCCCATAGCTTTGATCTCCTCTTGTAACACTTTAAGCTCTGCCTCGTTCATCTTTAAGCTATTCTTGACAGATTTTACCTAACAAACATTATTGAGGATAGCTAGTTCTGATGCAGAGATAACGAGCATTTGCATAATGAATATTGCAGATATTTCTCTATCAAAAAACCGATCACTGCTAGCTACAGAGCCCAGGCGTACATAAGATTTGAAATATTGAATAAAGAGTAAAAAACCGAGAAATATGAATAGAAAAAAAGAACTCAGATGTTCTCAGATAAGGATTAAACAATTTTGAAAAATTGGTGCTTCAACGTACAATATACGGCGGCAGATTTTAT